GAAAAACTAAATGCGCGAATAAAATTAAGTATAGAATGTATGTATATACTATAAGAAAATTAGGTTTACAACAATACCGTGTTTTTTCTTTACAATAGTACTACGCGATCCAATGTCAGTTTGCTAGTTGCTATAGAAATAAACGTTAATTCGGCCACGACCACCACGACCACGTCCACCAAATTCTGCCTAAACTAGTGCGCAGTGAGAGCANTTGTCTATAGTGTTATAACTTTTTATTGGATTGTTTCCCTTAAAAAGTTATAACGCTATAGCATGTCACTTTGCTGTGGAGACTCAATGTAACATTTTTGTTCACTGTCTTTTACGGCCACGTGCACGACGGTTCCGTTTTGGATTCCGTTCTTCTAGTATTTTTCTTTTCTCTGCAAATAAAATAACCATAGATATAGAAAAAGAAAAAGAGAAAAAGAGAGAGAGTGAATGAGAAAGAGATATAATTAATAAGTATAAATGTTTCATAATTAAGATCATTCTCTTTATCTGCTTCAGAGTCTACAAACTCATCTAATTCTTTATGTACAGTAGTAAGTGATAATTCTCTTTTTCCTGCAATATATATACATATATATATATATTGCAGGAAAAAGNGGATACGTATACATGTATATATATGTAGACAGAACCGAGAAACACTAAGAGTGTNAGTGAGAGAGTGAGTGAGTGATTGACTGAGTGAGAAAAGAAGAGAGTAAGTGCAGGGGTGAGAAAGAAATTTAAATAATAAGTATGAATATTGTTTTATATACTTACGTTCATTCTCTTTATCTGCTTGTGTGTCCATAGATTGTTTATTTGCGGGTAATGATTCTCTTTTTCCTACAATATATATATATATACAAAAGTGTGTGTGTGTGTGTGTGTAGACAAAAAGAGAGAAAGAGAGAGAGATATAAATAATATGTATGAATTACTTACGTTTCTTTTGCGATGGACCTGGTTCCGAGGTATCTACGTTAGTCTCTTTTATTTGTTGTTTCTCTGCAAAATATGTATATATGTGTTTGTGTGAATATGTATATATGCATGCTTACTGAAAGAGCTCTCATACAAAAGACAGAATATTTTGCTATGTGCCTTAATTTAAACAAGATTTCAAACCTTGTACTTACGTATTAGATTTTCAATGTGTGCTTCCAATAACTTTACTCGGTCCTTTAATTCGCAATTTTCTAAAGTTAGAAAGAGATTTTCTACTCGATGGATGTTTTCTAAATTATAGTCTTCTAATTGTTTATTCTCNATTTTGCCGAAATAAAGTAGACTCCCAAAACGTATACTTTCCCTATTCCNTCACTCTTAAATTCACGCATGGGCAAAGACTTAGGTTAATATTACATTTGTCGTACGAGAAAAGATTTGAAGTATGTTGATTGGCTATCAGATAAAATTTTCTAAAGAACTCTATTTGACAGCCAGTCAATATATTTGAAATCGTTGTCGTACGACAAATGTAAAGCCCGTTCTACATTGATCGCAAGCGCTAACGCAAGAGATAGATCTTGTAGAATTGACCGTTCACGCTGGTCAATTGGCTGATTTGATCAATACGATTAGTCAATTCTACGAGACCTGTTCCTTGCGTTTGCGCTTGCGATCAATGTAGAACAGGCTTAATATTAGCCTTACTTAATATAAATTGTGCAAGCGCTAGCGCAGTTTTGGCGCTATTGTAGCCATACTTAGGCTAGTATTAGGATAATATTCCATTTTTTTCCGAACGTCAAANATTTGAAGTATCAGATAAAATTTTCTAAAAAACTCTATTTTATAATCTAACAAATAATGATAATAACAAACGTTCACGTTTGCTGTTCGTTCGGCGTTCCTTCACTATGCTTATACCTAGCTTTTCACATGATGTAAACAAGAGATAAGGTGTTTCATTCCCGAGATGAGCAGTGTTCGACCCTTAGACC